CATGGTTTGGCTCTGGCATGAATTTCAGGTTGGTAACACTGTAGCTGCTGTTTTGTTGGCAAAAACGGTCAACCCCTGGGATTCATTTTATTGACTGAAGCTTTTCCTCCAACTATTTCAAAAACTTGGCAAGAACTTCCCATAATGGCTTTGCTTAAACATGCAATGTAATCATATCACTCTAGTTTTTCATTCATCTATTCAGTCAACAAATACTTACTATATACTTACATTGGACATTGTTCTAGGCAGCTGGGACACAAAAGGCTGCGGAAAGTCCTCTGTCATCACGGAGTCCACAATGAGCTGGTGGGGACAGACAGTGAATTACATAGTACGCTAACAGTGACGGGTGCGATCAGTGTTGGGTCTTACTGTGGCTTCTCCCTGGGTTGCTGGGAGCAGTAACAGATGGCTGTCTTTTGTTCTTGTCCTTTAAAGATTTCCTTTGCAAATGGAAGTCTCATCAGTGTGTGACTTTGATCTGGACCTGCCTGAAAAGGAAGCAGGGATGTGATGCCCAGGACTCACCCACTGTTACTGCACACAGTGGGAGTGGCCTGGTGACCTCACTTGCAGGCGGGGCACATGGCCTTGTCTGTGTGTTGAGGTGACCAGCAGAGACAAGTAGTGATAGTGTAGCAGTTGTATGTCTGCCCTGGAGGGTAGGCGGGTACAGAAGGCCAAGGACAGGCTGTGAGGCAGCTGAGGCATTCTCCCTTCCTCAAGACTACAGAGCTGTGGCTCAGACTCAGCCCATGTTCCCGGCACCCACACCCCTGGAGCCTGAGTCCATCGACTTTACCCCAGGAGCACACTGCTTAGTCTGTCAGGCTTCAGTACCAGCCAAGACCATGAAGGCATTTTTGGACAAGAATGTTTTGTTTTGTTTTGTTTGGTACCGGGGATTGAACTCAGGTCCTTGCGCTTGCACAGCAGGCAGCAAAACCACTGAGCTAAATCCCCGGCCCATGAAGGCATTTTTCTTTCCACCTAAAGTTCTGTGATAGCCTGCTATCTGGTTTGAGGGCAGTAGGTAGGAAGTAGGTCAGACATGATTTCGTGGCTGATCTTTCCCAGTCAGTGCTGAATGTTGTGAAGAAGCAGGAAGGACCGTGACTCCTTTTCCCAGTGGGTTTTGGTTTTCATGCCTTCTGTGTCATGGGCACTGGGACTGCAGCGATAAGTCACAGCTCCCAGCCTGTTTTGAGTTACACCCAAACCACATGCGCAGGCTCCCTGCTGGCTGAGGAAGCAGCAGGGAGATTAACATGACTCGGGTGGCAGAGTGCAGAGGTGGCATGGAGAGGCAGTGGCTGGTGAGAGCCAGCGACAGTGGGGCTGTCTGCAGCCTGACATGGCCTCTGAAGGGTAGTTCTCGTGGCTAACCAGCAGTTTCCTTTTTCTTTGACCAGTAAGGTTGAGTCATGGTCTAGGCTGACCCAGTGGTCAGTGACAGTGGCATCTTCTGATCCTCTGGGTGCAATGTGCCAGGAGGCTGTTAGTGAGACAGAGGGGAGATGTCCTATAAGGTCATGAAAATGCTACCTTTCCACAGGGACACAGCTCTCCCCTCCAGGCTTTCAGGAATTCAGTGGTAGGAAAAGGCACAGGCAGAACCAGAGTGATGGGTGTTTCTGACAGTGATTAAGGTGAACGAGGTTCACTGTGAAACCCAGTACAGTACTTGGCTTCTTGCTCTAGTTTCTAGCACTGCGGGCTGGACATGGGGATCCTCCTGTTACTGGAGTGCAGGTCTGCACTACTTGCTCTCCAAGAAATATGGGGGGGCCATTTATTTTGGTGGAAAGATTTATTCAAAGCTAGCTCCAAAGGAGATGGGGGGAGGCACTCTCATTCGCCTCATATCTCCACCCACTTTATTTAGGTATGCAGGGGTGATGGGAGGAATACTGAGGCAGTAGACCGGTGGGGGTGGGGGTGGGTGTCACATTCTGTGTTTCATCTCCAGACTATTCTGGGCTCCTCCCCTCCCTGTGGATACAAACCCTAACCCACCTTCCTCCATCCATTCATCTGAGCTGAGGAGATGGTGGCCTACACTAAAAAAGAAAGATCCCAGTTTTTTAAAGATCTCTTTTATCCTCTTGGTTACACTACAGCCCTCTTTGCCAGTATCTATGCTACCATGTGACAAGAGAGAGTTCAGCAAATTATGCATCATTGTTTTGCACTTAATTTCCAACTTTTCTCTTAGAAAATACAACTGAAATCGCACCAATTTCCTGTATGGTGGCTGGAGCATATTACCAAAAAAACCCAAAGTAATTATAATCCACACCCAGCCTACATCACTCCTGCCTTGTCTTATGTTCCTGGTATATTAAACTGCATTCATTTTAGAGTGAAGCCGCACATAATACAAATGAAACATGTAATCAATATTTAACTGAAACTACATGTGAATATCTTGGGTCTCTTAAAGGGAAGCACATTGCCCTTGCCCTAGGCTTGCACGGAGAACATCTGCCTGCTCCCACAGAGGGGCCAAGTCCTGCACAGGGACATGTCCTGGAGCCCCGGTGGGGTGCCTGGGGTCCATAGGGCAGGCACTTAGACCTGAGGGAGGACAGAGCTCACTGTGCCTCAGGTGAGGCTGTGTGGAGAACAAGGTGGGGTGGCAGCAGGATTAACGGGCTTGTCACAGGCCTTAGAATTAAGTCATTTTGGATCTCTCTGCTGCGTAAACCTGGTCAGATGAAGAGCAGCGATTCTTTTCAATGGTGCTAAATTGGAGCCTGTTACCCTTCCCTTTCCCAAAATTATTATACCTTTTAAAACATTATTCCTCCCCACCCCTCTGCAATGAGCAGATCTGCTGGACATGGTGGTAACTCCTGTGATCTTAGCTACTCAGGCTGAGGCAGTAGCATTGCAAGGTTTTGAAATAGAAGGGTTGGGCTGGGGCTTAGTGGCAGGACTCTTCCTACCTTGCTTGGTTCATTGCTTATTATCGGGAAGACTCATGGCTTGTGCTTACACACTGGAGCAGGCTGTGAAATGCTTTAATGTGATTAGGCTACTGGTCTCTTTTCCAATTTTGTTATGAATACAGAAAAAGTACTCTAGACTTTAAAATTCTCAGCCACCTTGGGACTTAGATTAGTTCATTTTTACAGGTGAGGAAATCAGACAGGAAGCTTTTCTGAGGTTCAGCTCACAGGAGAAAAATGTTTGATTCCAACCTGACTTTACTTCAAGGTCAGAGGTCCTAAATGACTGAACCACTTCATAACTTAGAAGGTCTCTACTGCTAGTTCATGTCCTTGCCTCATGTGAGCTCTCCGGCTGCACGGTTCTAGCTTTTGACTTGAATCCACACCCCAGACTGCTGGTTCTGGACCCTCCCATTCTAGAGGGGGACTGGCTCCCGTCCCCACCCCATAACTTCACATGCACTGCTGGTCTGTCCCACCTGTGCAGAAAGCAGTCTGGGGCTCTGGGTTGGCTCAGCTTTGTGATCGACCATCTGCAAACAGCAAGCACAGAGTCCCTGGAGGCTTCCTAAGTGGGACAGCAGGTGAAGGGGCAACACTTAGTCCCAAAGACTGCTTGGGGAGAACTGCTCAGCCAGGTGAGAGGACCATCCTAGATGAAGGTGACTGTGAAAGTTGTGATCTGTGGCCTACAACACTGTCCCTAGTCTTCCCTCAGACCTCAGTGTCACAACTCCAGTCATGTTTGCTGGGCAGGGAAGTTGCTAAGTCACTTGGAAACTGTAGGGTGGCAAACCTAGAGGATTTCTGTCTAGGAAAAGATAAAGAGCTCCAAGCCAAAATTTATTTTTAAGGATGAAGTTCTAATCCAAGGTATCACAAAAAATAGGACTTTTCAGTTATAATTTAGTAATCTTGTCATTTTTCAAAGATAAATTTTTCCTGCTACACAGGAAAATAGTACCTTTCTCTACTAATATCATGCAGATGAACTAAAGGCCTTTACTACAGCCTTCCTACTGGAGTTTCACAGGGTAAGACTTGGGGTTGGGGGTTGCCTTTTTACTTTTGCATTTCAGGTCTGCTGGTGTGTGGAGCCAGGGCCAGGCCTAGGCTGAGGCAGACCAGGGTTTGCTGCCAGGCTGCACAAGCATGCATCAAACACCTATATGTGAAATCCTGCACATCAGTTGCCTCTCCCTGAGATATGAGTCCAGGCAGGAGAAAGACCTTAGATTTGCCATTTCCAGTTATTCAGGAGAAGTCAAGCTGTGAGGAGTATTAAGGAAGGATGCTGCTATAACAGCATGGAAGAATGGAAGCAGGGCTTATTAATATCTACTCAAGGCAAAGTTGACTTGAAAGCATCCACACAAAAAAACTGTTAGAAAGTTTGTGATTTGTCTGTAAATCACAGAGATCTGTGTGAAATTCATTGTTGGCAAATACTAGAAGACACTTCTTGTGGGTGTATTTGGAGCACTGACAATCAGGTTAAATCTGGCCCTCTGCAAAGCACCTGTCTCACATTTAACCAGCTTGCATTCCAATGCTTCTGTGAGGAGTTCCCTTGTGCCAGGGCCCAAAACCCAGATAGTAAACACCCTGAGTTTTGCAGACATGTGGTCTGTAGCAGCTATCCAGCTCTGCTGTTCTAGCACAAAAACAGTCTGTAAATGAATGGGCACTGTGTTCCGATATGTTAAGCCACATTTGGCCTGATGGCCTTGGTTTGCCAGCGTCTGCCTTAGACCCAAAGGGCAATGCTCACAGCAGTACAGCCCTGAGCAGATAGTTCATCTACTTTCCCATAAGAGAAATCATTAACGGAGTCACATTTCAACATGCAGGTAAGTGGCTGAAAATATTTCTAAGTGGCATTTCTTGCTCAGGTAAGATTAGTTGCATAAAATGATCCTGAACATTTTCTATTATGGAACAGATGCTGTTGCCCAGAGCAAGAAGCAGTTAACAGCAGACTGCAGTGGGTGCAGTGTGCTACAGAGCTACGAGGCTTCATCAGTTTTCTCTTCTGTCCCGCAGGCCTGTTCCTTATCCTTGGTCTCATCCTCTACCCTGCTGGCTGGGGCTGCCAGAAAGCCATAGACTACTGTGGACATTATGCATCCGCCTACAAACCCGGAGACTGCTCTTTGGGCTGGGCCTTTTACACTGCCATCGGCGGCACAGTCCTCACCTTCATCTGTGCTGTCTTCTCCGCACAAGCAGAAATCGCAACCTCCAGTGACAAAGTACAGGAAGAAATAGAAGAAGGGAAAAACCTTATTTGCCTCCTTTAGTGTGGAAGAGACATTAATGTCATTTTTTTCCTTTGTAATCTTGTGAAACAGTCCTCATCATATGAATCAAGTGGAGAAATAGCCTTCACCTATCAAAGCCACATTCCACAGTCTGGGCCTTTACAGGACCTGTGAGGGGCAACACCTGACTAAGCACAGCTACTGGACAAGGACAAATTATAAGAGTAACAACCTGTAACATCGTTTAGCAACCCTGACTGCAGTTGTGGGGTTCGATCAGACCCCATCTCCCCAGGTCTCAATGAAGGATAATGACCGGGATTATGAAGGCACCATCTCTCTGACAACAGAGAAGATTTAGTTGGCCACTAGCCTGGCAGGCCATTTTAAGGCCAAAGAGGAAGTTTCTGCCTCACAGCTGCATGTCTGTGAGCATCTCTGCCTTAGGATGAGATCTCAAGTTGGCGTTTGGTTTTCTTCCTAGTTCTTTCATATTGTTTCAGTTGGAGACTAAAAGGATACTCACAAACTTACTGGGGATAGGATGTGTGCCAATGGACCAAAGTCCTCAAAGACAGTGTGGGACTTACTCTAAGCTGAATTCTGGGGGAAAGTAGATCACCCAGACTGTCACTCCAAGGTGTTAGAAATGTTTGAGTAAGAGACACCAAGGGCCTGTACAATCACATGAGGATAAAAGCTCACACCCTGGCCAGATGAGCAGTTTCCTCTTCCAGCAGCCAGGCTAGTGCCCATGCAGGCCCTGCCTCCTCTTTCTTCTAGATCCAAGATTGTGCTTTGACTGCCAAAGGAAACATGTTTCCTTCTATCAGGGACAGTGGGCTCCACACCAGCTGTGACACAGTCAGGTGCTCACAAGGAGGAACTGCCAAATCTCGGCCCTGGGGGGACCTTTCCTGTTTGGTGATCCAACCTTAGTCAGCTGGATTCCCAACTCCTTTAGCAGCAGAATAGGAAAGTTTGCAGGAAAAGGGAGCTAGTGATGGGAGTTAAGCTTCTCTAGTCACTGGTGTTAGAGCCTGAAAGAAGACTGAAATAACATTAAACTTCTGCAACTGAAGAGTTGCACCAGAGACTTGGAAAGCAGAGAGTAGAAAGTTTATGCAAAAACCCGAGCTAGACCAAGCTCACAGCACCTGCCTATACCTGTTTACAGAAATACTCAAACACCACTGTTAGAAAGGATTGAGGAAGAAAGAAAAAAAGATTCAGGGCTTTTAATGTAGTTTCTTTAAGTTTCCAATACAATTGATCTGGGAAGGTGGTAATCAGAATGAGCAAAAGTCTGACATGCGCATCAGGGACTGAGAGGGAGAAACATTCCTCACCCACAGAAGTCAGGGGGCATGGGCCTGTCCACTGTCTGGAAAGATTAAGAGTGTGAGTCTCTTCGGGTTTATGAATCTGCTCACAGCGGGCTTTATTCTGAAAATGTAACAGCTAATAAGCACCTCCTACTGGCAAGGTATTTTGTGCTAAGTACCACCAGATATTCAAACTTGACTCAGAAGCTACAACTTTGCACCAGTGAATGATGTCAAAGCTGTGTGAGTTAGAACCATGGCAGGCAGAATAAATAGCTGTTTTACAGAAATGGAACGGGGAGACTAACATTTTTATTATATCCTGTTTGACCTTTGGCCTATAATAGAAACCATCTTATCTCACAGGTGAAAGGCCAAGGGCAAAATATGAGCAAATCTTCTGAACCAAAGCCAGCTTTTTTCAGAGAGAGAAGGGTTAACAGGTATCCTCCTAGAAACTTAGGCAAAGGCTCAGGAAACACTAACCATCTCTCTAACCACATGAAATAAATGGGCCATGGGAGCCACTGGGTGAGGCTCCTGTGCCTGACAGTGCTTTATAATGTCTAACCAAGACCCTCCTCCTGCCAGGTAACTACTTTCAAACCTGAGCAGTATTTTTCATTTAAAGCAGTTTCCTTCATCAGGCAAATGCTGATACAACTTTTTCTTAAATTTCTTATTGGAAGATTAACCTTTACAAGATAGAGAATCCACTTTACAATCTCAGCCGCCTCCTAGGACAAGGCATAGGCCCAGAAGACCCTGTGAGTGTGTTCACTGCCTGCTCCTTGGCAAAAGTGGGAGGGCTCCCCTAGGTCACCCTGTCACAGTAAACCCATCAATAGCAGTCACAAAAGAAAATGGGACCTCTCAGGCAGGACAAAGTCACTTGACAGTGTTCATTAATCTGAATGATATAGAACACTAAGAAGAAAAAGGCACATACACAAAACCCCAAGCCACTGAAAACTGACTTAGCATAACAGGAAGAATGAGTCTTCTGCCACAGGGAAAGGCAGTGTTGGGTCTGTGAAACCTTCAGCTCATCAGCCAGCCTTTCTTTGGGATAAGACTGTAATGCTACCCTGGACCAAAACCCTCCTGCATGGCTCTTTAAAAACCACTCAATCCACATTTTCTAATAAATAGGACCATTACTACTCCAAGAAAAGCCTATTTATTTTGCCTGCATTTGTGCTTAAAGTTTTGTGACGGGCTGGGCATCTCAAAGCACTTTGAGGCAGAAATGTTTGCCTCGGAGTCTGTGGATTCTTTAAACCTGTGTGCTAATTCAAAGTGTAACATTTAATTGTGTGAGGGTTTCTGTGCAGTTCTCAAACAGCTGTGGTGTAATGATTCTTGTTAAACATGTATCCCATAAAGTGCCAGTCTTTTGTTTAATGTGTAGCATATTTAAATATGTATATACATACACAAGTTTTTGTGAAAGATGTGCAATAACAAAGGTGTATGTATGTTTTCTTTTGGAAACTGGACAGGAATCAAAACAGGGATGTTTTCTGTTTTGGCAAAGGAGAGTTACACATTTTTGCCTTCATGGCCTAGTTATTAGCCTATGACAATTTTAATGCTACATGAATCTTATGTGAAGAAAAGACTGGTATGAAATAGGTTTTTCCTGGGTCTAAATTATAATAATCACTCTATTTATGTGAAAGTTAAGCCAGCAAGCCAGGCCCAGTTAATGCTAGTCTTTTGTGTGAAATGTGAAGCTGCGTGTTGCCTTTTCTGTTAGTGTGACGACTAGTTGCTGGAACATAATCGCAGGCACTGTTTCTTAGCGTGCTTTCCTGGACCCTGTCAATGCTAGGCCACTGTGGAAGGGCTGACCGCACGCCTTCTTAGCCTAAGTCCGGCTTTGGACAGACCTCTGTGCAATAACGCCTGGCCCCAGGAATCACCACCTGCGTCTGTTTAAAGTAGCAGTGACGCCCTGTGGGGCCAGAGTCAGAGATGGTTGGGTTTCTTCTGAGACTGTGGTGGAACTTTCTAAGGACGAGGGAGTCGTCAGGTGCTCTGGAGGAACGCGGCACCACTTGACATTAAACAGCCACTTGAGCCAAACAAAAACTGTACTACAGCGATAGACTCAATTTGAGCCCTCAAATGTGTGGTTACCGTTATACTGTAAACTAATACATTGTCTAGCATTGATGAGGTTCCTGTGCCTATGTATTTTCACATTGTGCTCCCTCCCCCTCAGATTTGAATTAAATCAGATCTTACAAACCCATTCCTACGAGTCTGAGACTACTGGCTTCACTATGATGTGTACAGTGTGATGGAGAAAACAGCTACCAGTCAAAATCGAAACACTTATTAAGTCAATGAGGATAAAGATTAACGCAAGCTTTTCCAAATATTCTATTACTAATAACATATATATCACATCCTTACTACAGGTTATCTTCTAACTTCTAAATAAGTAGTATTTCTTCCTTGGAAAAGTATTAACATAATTATAAATAGGAGAAAAACTTATTACACAAACATCTTAAAGTAAAGCTACACAAGAAATGAAAAAGCTTCAAAGTCTCTTTACATTTGTGATGGAAAAAGTTACCTGACACATTCTCTTTAACAAAGTAGCCAGGTGTGGTAGCCTTTATCCCAACACTTGGGAGGCTAAGGTAGGAGGACTATTGCAAGTTAAAGGCCAGCCTGAATTACACAGCAAGACCCTGTCTCAAGAAAGAAAAAGAAAAAAAGCCAACTGCATGGAGCTGTTCCACATCTACACTTCTGCAAGGTAATCCTGCCTAAAAGAAGCCTCAACCAGAGTAGTAAGATTCCTCATCTGTAAACTCAAAGATGACAGTAAATCCTCTCTTCATAAACTCAACCAACTCTCTACATCTCATGAGCACTTACTGTTTGGTAGAATAAACAAAAGTGGCTGTTTGTTCCCTGGTCCAGGGCTTACAGCAGCTCAAAGTATAGTTATGCTTTGGTTTCTAAATATACCTGACTTCTGGCACGTTTCTAATTGAAATCAAGGTTTTAAAAGCTGGCAAAACACCTAAATCACTAAAGAAAGTTTTCCAAACAAATTGTAATCTGAATAGCCCAAGCAGAATTGGAAATTTTCCATAGCTTTTTCAGGTATTACTTCATGTTTTTCAAAGGTATACCCAAGAGAAAGGACCTGACTTGGAGCTGAATTCGAGCCTCCCCAACCTTAGCTTTGACCTGACAATTGTGCTCTGGAGCAGCTTTCCAGGCCTGGTCTTCCTGGAACACACCACTCACTCCTGGATCCCCATGGTCAGCAAAACCCATGGAAAGGGACAGTCTTTATTGCCCTCGGCATTCCTCTTACATGGCTGTTACTTCAGGAGTTTCAATCAATACCTTTCTGACCCTTCCACACTAAGGAGAAGGGCATCAACACAAAACACTCTTCAAAGCAGCAAGACCACTAACTGTCTCCATGGCACAGCCCTGCAAGTGGCTTAGTCATTTGGTGGTGATCCCACTGTTGCCCCACCACCTTCTTGCAGCTTCCTCTGCTTACCCTGGAGAGTTCTGTGAAATAACCCTTCAACATGTGTACTACTAATTTTGCTTAGGTAGATGGCATACAGATAAAAGCAGAAACCCACATGGCAAAGAAAAAGTCAAATCAAATAACATGTAGCTATTAGCAGCTCTGGCTTTTTATAGCCAAGTATCCTGAAGAAGCTAACATCCCCACGTAAGCAGTCCCAAAAAGTCCTAGGCTGGGGGAAACCACTAATTTATTCACGGGAGAAGCAAGCCCAAGTTCAGGTGTGGTAGTGAAGGTAATGCTGGGCTGAATTAGAGATGTTGGGAGAATGGATGAACACAGCAGTGGGGAAGGAGAGTCTAGGGTGACTGCCAGTGTCAGTGTAGAGTGACACAGGCACCCAGATGAGTCCAAAAGGAGCAGGGACAGTGGAGAGTTGGAAGGTGCAGTGTGGGGTGCTGCTGCTGGAGATGTCCTATGTGCAGCTAGAGACACAATGGAGAAGACCAGACAGAGGCAGAAACTTGGGTGTGGGTCTGTCTAGACACAGGTGTGAGTACATGAAGAGATGCTGCAGCGTCTGGTTATTGTGCAGATACTATGGTAAACACTTCACGTACCTTGTTTATTCACCAAAACCCTATGAAGTAGGAGCTATTATCCTTCTTTACAGACAAGTAACTGCCACGTAAGTCACAGCTGAAGTTAAGTCATTTGCCCTAGACTGGAAAGCTAGTCAGTGACACAGCAGGGTGCAAATACAGACATCAAATACGCTGTTCTCTGCTCCCTAGAATGATGAGCAAGGGATGGAACAGCCAATACACACCAACACCTGGGGTGCCAAACAGTGTCTTCCACTATGACTCCAGAAAGACACATCGGAGGAGCACAACTGATGAAAATACTGCTCCTCCTTTGCATAGAAAAACCTAGCACTACTTTTTATATTTTTGTTTCTGTCACATGGGAGACTGAACCCAGGGCCTTCACACTGACCTACATCCCCAGCCCTCTTTTTTTTTTTGGTACCAGGGATAGAACGCAGGTCCTTGTGCTTGCATAACAGGTGGCAAAACCACTGAGCTAAATCCGCCCCCCGCTGCCCTCTTTTGAGACAGGGTTTCACTAAGTTGCTAAGGTGCCCACGCTGGCCTTGAACTTGTGATCCTCCTGGCTCAGCCTCCCAGAGTGCTGGGATTACATGATGTGCCACCACCCCTGGCTAATTTTTCATATTTTTGAAGATACCATTATTTTCAATTCATCATCCTGACAACACACTAAAAACTCAACAGGTATGTGACAGAAGTAAAAGAGATGATGGGCTCTGATAGTTTTATTTTCTTAGTATAAGCAGCTATTATGTCACATAAGAAGCATATTTAACCTAGTAATTAAGGATTTGTCCTACACGAAAGTTTCGTCAAACATCCAAATGCCCAAGACCACTTACACAGACTTCTGGGGGTGATTTCCTAGTCCTCTGTAAAAGCAGGGCTAATCACAGAAATTACTTCATAAATTCATTCAGTGTATATACAAGTATATTGTAATTCCTTAATACTGGAAGAAAATTAAGAGAATCTTGTCTTCCCAGATTAGTATCATTGACAGCTATTTTGAGAAATTACATTTTGTGAAGGGTAACAATGTGTCATCAAAACCAATCTAATTTTACCTGGAATAACTCAGCAGATTGGCTACCTGAGGCCACCATTTCTCTTTCCACATAAACTTTTCAGCTAATCACTTTACCTTAGAGCTTTCAGGAAGTAGATTTCTCTATGGATACAGGATATACTCCTATTTAGCAAAACTATACATACATACATACATACATACATACATACATACATACATACCAGCACTGAGTGAACTCTCAAGTATGGGAAACCAGAATGCTTAGAAAACAGACCTCCTGGTTATCTGTCAGAACCACTGGTATAAAAAGACTTTCATGGAAAAGGAACATCCAGTATTGGCTAGGGCATGGACATGAAACTTGTACATAGCAGATGGGGGCCAAATATCGGAGAGCAACTTGGCAATCCACATCAAAGGTCTTATTAAAAATACGCATACCAGTGACCCAGCAATTTGTCCTGAGGAAAGGACAAAAAGCTAAGGCACCCAAATTTAGTGACAGTGTATTCCACAATAATCATATATAACAAAGAAACCTGAAAATCTGAATGTAAGAGAATTAGAGCACTTTATGATAGCTATACAGCTACCAAGTATTATAAAAATATACTCAGAAACATAGTAAGTGGAAAAAGATAAACCACTGTGTTAGTTAAAATGCCCCAGTGAAAGTAATAAGAAAACAGTTCAGGATAGGTCAGGGAAAAAGACAGTAAGAATATTATGAGGATAATGGGCTGGGATAAAAAGAGCAGCTGGCCCTCCATAGATGGAAAGCTGTGAAGATCTTTTGTGTCCCTTTGCACGTCTGCTTCCTTCTTCCTTCTCAGTGCAGATGAGCTTTCTTGGTGGTTCCTCTTTCGTGGCAGAATATGGCCATCCCATAGGTTTCAAGTCTGAAAGAGTGTAGTTCTGGGTTCCTCTGCATCAGAATGAAAACCTCACGAGGCAGGCCCGAGTGCACTGTGACATCTAAACCAGTGTGCGTGGTCATCAGGGGCACAAGGAAACAGGGCCTGAGAGAGCTGGGAAAGCATCCCTAAAAGTTCTAAAAGAGGTAAAGGGAAGTGTCGTTTCTTAGTTTTAGAATGCAAGTTGTCTTCCTACAAAATCTAATAGGTAAATATAAACCAGACTTTAACAAAAGTTCTTCATGGGTATAAAAGTATGGGCAATGTTAGTTATCTTCTTTTACACACAAAACAGAACACTCACTGCACTGCCACATGGCAGCTCCCATGTACCCCTGCCAGTTGAAAACATGAACAGTGCTAATAAAAATTCTACAGGTTGAAGGCTTTGTCTACCCCAAACCATAAAGTAAAAATAAAATGTAAAATACATGGGAAGGATGAGAAAACAGCAAGTCTTTTCCTATTTCTTTCGGACAGTAATGGCAAACCTACAGAACACATATTATTTGTTTTTCTTCTAAAACAATGGATGTTAATGTGTGAGCTGTTTTTCCTAAACTAAAACCTCAGTATACAGGTTTAACTGCAGTGTTGGCACTCTGCGATAAGTAAGTGTGAGCTTGGGTTTTGGGTTGCAGTGTGGGCACTTGGTCTCTAAAAGGTTCACTATCACTGCCTTAGGATCTTTAAATTAGAGCTCTCCATTACTGACAGTGTGAATACAGCACACATGCTTTATAAAATGGGCTCTAAAATTCTAGTGGAAAGCCTTCATTTTCCGTAATACTTGACCACTGAGATACAACTTTGTTAAAGAAAAATGTATTTTAAATAAGTCCTAATGTTGTAAAACATTATACTACTACAATCTAAATAAATTTTTACTATGGTATTTGAAAACTTATCAATGTGAGACCTTTGCTATTTTTAACCATTCTCAATTACTTTTAAGTTAACCATTCTTATTTTACCTTCAAAGGTTTAATCACATGGAATCAACAAATTCCTCTAAACATTCTCCTTATGGTAAAAAATGGCAAGATATGTAGGGAAATGGTGTGTAACAACTATACTGATTGTAAGCTACACACAGCAGGAGAACATGTTCAAAATGTAATGCGTTCTATAAACAGTCATGCTAAACACAAATCTGACCAGTACAGAGGATGCTGATGTCAGCATTTTCCACTATGAGTACCATAACATTACGTCATTGCAAATCATTTACAGAAACAGCCAATAAACCTAACCACATATATCCCCATGAAGCACAAGCCATACTTTACCTCAACATGAATTATAGGATATTTTCCTAGTGAGTGAAGAGTAATAAAACTCAAACTCACTTTTTTTAGTTAACACTCAGGAAAAAAAAAAAAACTTCCTACTTTATTCCAACATATATTTCTCAAGATACATCATGAACATAATTTTAGATTACACTTTTACATCTTCTTTAGCTGGTCAAGTAAAAAACCCAATACACAAATAGGCGCTTTCATCAGTACACAGGACAGTCACAGGTAAGTAAGGTTAGGAACAGAACCCAAGTTCCATCAAATGAGGATCACACCGGCTTAGAGACACCCATTTCAAGTTTTTCGGGAAAAGTTTTTCATTCTACATCTAACTTCTAGACCTTAAAAGTGGTCAAAATATTTAGTGTGGCGGAAGCTCGTGTTCTACTACCTATAAAGGTCTCATCGCAACAGAAAAAAATTGTCATTTTATGTTGCTGAGGGTTTTTAACTAAGTCTTTTATATTCTGTTTAGCAATGACAAAATTAGATTTTTTTTTAATGTGAAAAGAAACTTCTAGATACATTAAACCTATAACTAATAGTGTTTAAATTATGCAAACATCCATCCAATAAACAGTATTTTATTTTATGACACTCTGCATTAATACAATAAATATACAAAACTTCCAAACCACTGAAAACATGCAACATTAGAGGACAGATGGAAGGCATTGGTACAGAACCATGACAGTCACCATGATGGCAGCGCAGTATACTCACCTACAAAATATACAAACATCCCCAGATCAAGAACCAAGACCCAGATTACAAATCACTGAGCAAGAATTTTTTTTCCAGTGTTCAAACTTTAGCTTCAAATAGAATAGTCATAATTTAATAATGCAAACTGAAAGATGATGTGGATGCCTACCATATGAAGACCATTTTGTGATGGTGGTACCTCATAATTTTAGTATTAAGTATGAAAAACTAACAAATGCCAATCTTTTGTTGAGTAAAAATTAACTGTTTACTGATTATTGTTGAGACAAGTGAATATGAGAATTTAAAGCTGCTTTCATACCTGATTGAACTGCAGGCATTGTCAGTGTGTAGGCAATGCACATTTATGTTTCTAAAAAACAATTCTCCCTCTTAACTTGTATTAACTTGTATTAAATTGAAATTTAAAGGTTTGTTTCTCTGTTCACACAGAAAAAGACACTGTGGGTTGTAATAATCTTTGCTTTTAATAATGTTACCTTTGGAGATTTCTACATAACAAAAACATTGCAATTCTGAAGGAAAAAATAGTTATTTTTCAAAAATCTGACAATACTTTTGTTATTATTGTTTTTCTTTTAGAGAAAAACAAAAAAATGGACTTGGGATATAAATTAGTGGCAGATACAATGCTCTTGTTGCATTTTGTGGTTAATGTTTTGAAAAATCCACACCCAATAAAACAAGTTTTCACTAAGACTATGGGATCTGAAGAACTAGAGCTGCTGGGCTGGGTGAGAATGTAGGTGAAGATTATCACTGATTAGAAATATTTATAAAAACAGCTTTAATTCACACTCTGAATCCTATTTTCTTCAGAATAAAAGAAATGTTTTGCAACTATGTAATTAATAAAGTCCCAAATAAATCAAATGTAAACAGCTGCATGAGCTCTGTTTCCGAGGAGCACACAGAGCCTCCTCATAAACAGTAAGAACTTGGCCTCCCACCTTCAGCATGAAACTTACTTTAAACCCCAGATTTGGGAAGGAGAATAAATATGATTTATTCCATTTATGCCCACTTGATTTTTTTTAAAAGATTCATTCTTAAATAATATAATCCAATACATCATCTTTACTTAAAATCAAGCTGCATAAACCACTACCCATCATTCTGAAACCAAAAGTTACCTAAAGGTTTTCAAAATACAGCATGATTTAGAAATGCTTTTAAGTCATTTAATCAATATTACAAATGATTCAAAGTTTAAACCCAAGTATAACCTAAGAATAAAGTTCTGTGCTACACGGTAATGATTTCAATGTGATTATGTTCATAATTAATGCTTTTAACAGTTTGTATGTACTGTCTTGCTTGGTGCAATGTTTTGATTTTTTTATTGTGAACAATTTAAATGTATTCAGTCTATCTCAAAAAGTGAAAGACGTAGGCCCATTAGGGATTCAAGTATATTAGAAATGCTAAGGTCTTTTTATTTTTAATGCCACTAGAAATGAGAGGCTAAAGGAAAAATTCCTTAAATACTGTATATTCTTTTTAGACAAGGATTAGGTTAGCCTTTAATACCTCTGTCAAAAAATACACACGCACCCGCACACACACACCCAAAATAAGCTGCCGAACACAATCTCAGTTCAATTAAAAAGAGTGCCCAAGAGAATATACTAAAGTTTCCATACAGTAAAATTTTACTATATGAATACTGAAAATTAGAAATAAAATAAAAGGAATTATTATTTCTACATTCTATTGCACTGACTACCTTCTCTTTTGGATAATGCACTGCATATTATATTAAAGTCTCATATTGTACCCCAATAATTTTTATTTAAAAGAAACTATTACAGAAAATCACTTCTATGATCCATAAACAACCCTGATTCCTATTAAGTATACGCAGTACAGAACCCAAAATACTAATTCTTTTAATTTAAGCAACATGTTGTCCATGCAAGATGAGAGACTTATCAAAATATCAACTACTCTTAAAAAAGAAAATAAAAGACAAAATATACATCATCTACCACAATTCAGTCACACAGGCTGTCACTGGTGACTGAAACTGATAAAAAAGTAAGTCAATTTAAAAATGTGTGTCTCTGCTGGCTTATTTCTTTCAAAATAAATAAGGAAAAGAAGAATGCTTTCTTGTGTCATACTTACCATTAAAGAGTCTTAAAAGAACAATTACAGTTAGTACTAAGAGTTTTTTAGATCATGTTAATTTGTACCATGTTTTTTTGTACCATGTTAATTTCAGCTGGTCACCACTGAAATAATTTGCTGAACACCATCCCCCCAAAATATGGAGAATGTTTATTTAGCATGTAATATTCTTCTGCTGGGGCACTGAAATATGAAGAAACTATTCAGTAAAATAAGATGTGGAAATTTTTCTGCTTTTACCCCATGCACATGTGAACAGGAAATACTCATGCTGTGTGTACTGTGTTTCCAACATAAAAACACCTGCAGAATACAGTAACTGGAGAGAATGGTACCGTCAGAAGGTAACAGTGTACTGCGGAGGCCTCTAGATCTGGTTACCCTTGAAAGCACTCTGAGCCGCACTCGTGGCCGCAGTTGAAGCTGCATTTGCGGCTGCAGTCTGGACAGTCTTGTTGGACATCACACCTGTTGCAAACTCCTGTTGGGCCTTCTCAAAACTAGCACCCGTTGTGCGATACAGTCCATGTACCTAGAGAGGCACAAAATGGTGGAGCAGTGAGTGGCACCTGCGCATCATTTCCAGTATCCTTGATCTCAACATTACTCAGAGATAAAAGACAATTCTAGTCATGATTTCTAGAATTAAAAACATTAGGCAGCACATGGGTACACATTTATATTTAAATATTCTCTTAATATGGCTTTTTCATTTTCTTTCCCAAGCTGAAGAGACAATTATGGCAATTCAAGCCAAAACTAAAGAACAATCCTTAACCAACTGCAAAAAGCTGTTTCCCTCTGGCCTCCATTAAGGTATTACACCTTTGCCACAGAATGATTTAAACATAACATAGGATGGTCTGATTTTAATTTACTACCCCAGACAATTTGACACCTTAACTATTTCTATGCTGGCTACATACGCAGCACTAACCCTATCATAATGTGATGGTATCATTTATCATTTCCTTAACCACACACTATTTATATTCTTAAAACTTACTTCTGGTATCCACTCTGTGTATTATTTTTCTTTTTCTCTGATCAAGTTCTAAAGCATTGATAAAGAAAGACTATGGAGAATTGTCTGTCTATACTGATTTATTACTCAAATCTTGCAGTTTATTTTCATAGTAAAGTTCAAAAATTTTCTATCTTCATAAGCTATATAATCAAACTATGAAGCTTACTGATACATATGAACCACTCAATTTAACACAAACTTAAAAGAGTAAAAAATGAGGTAAATTACAACATGAATTAATTACATGCCCACAAACCTTGGGGTACATAGAGGGGGAACAAGTGAGCCAGTAATTGCACTGTGATTGGACCTAAATTAGAAGCCACACTGAAATTTAATCAAAGTGGGTTTTGGAGAAGGGCCAAGTGCATTCAAGTCAGTGCTTTTTCTGACTCTTTATTCTCAAACCTGGATAGAAAATGGTAATTGTGCAGTGAATGTGGAGCAAGAAAAGACAGAAGGCCGAAGACTCTCAACTCAAGCTGGAATACTGGAGAGTAGTTTTAGGAAAGCAGAGAATAGGAGAGGTTAATTTAGGGTAAATATTCATTCATTCTACCAGTGTCTGAACACCTGAACACCTACTGCTGGCCTGCTACAGCAGGTAAAAAAAGATTTGGTTTGGAGCACAGAATAAAAACAGACAAAAGACATTAACAGGGAAGCCACAGAGGGAGCTAAATGTCTGTGTCCCTTCTCCCCAAATTCTTGTGTCAAAATATTAATAGTCCCCAATACAATGGTACTAGGATGTGGGGGTCTCTGGGAGGCTATTAGGTCATAAAAGTAAAGCCCTTATGTTTGGAATTATAAAATACCCCAGAGAGTTCTCCTGCCTCTTCTACTACATAAGGACACAGAAAATGGCTATGTCCCCACCAAACACCTAATGACCCTACTAAACACCCAACCTGCCAGTACCTTGATCCTGGACTCCCCAGCCTCCAGAATTGTAAGAAATAAAATATTTGTTCTTTGAGCCACTCAATCTATGATGTATTTGTTATCATAGCCCACAGGGACTAAGACATCATATAAATGGTAGCTGAAATCTTGACATACATGAAACCATCTTCAGAAAACCACACAGCAGAAAGAGAAGAAAGTCAAATACAGAAACCTCTTAAGAGAGCAATATTTTTTTAGGGCATCCAAAACAAGAAGTAGTTGTTATAAGAAGAATGTGAATAACCAGGGATTTTTCACTGATATCAAGAGGAGAAACTATGTCAAGAAATAAGATGCAATTTGTTATCTGGGTAAAAGAAATCTCCAGATAGCCAAGTGCTTCTGATGCAGTGGTGAAAGTCAGTGTTGTACTGCTGTGGATCAGAGTGTACAATGGGCAGGGAGAAGAGAGGGGTACTGCACACACCTAGGCTGAGAAACTACAATTCTTTCCCTAGTGTTCCGCACTATCACTGAGTACAGAATTATTTTTATTCCCTTTCCAAAACAAGTTTTCTATGGAAATTAAAGATACAGATAAATTACCACTCCTATGTTCAAGAAACTCGTCTTACACTGAATACAAATGACTGGAGCCCAGAAAATAAGGTATATTACAGAACTCTAATACTTCTTAACTTAGTAGATGCACTCCGAATACAAAGCAATTACAAGTTTACTTGTCTGTCTTCCCCTTCCCCCCCCCCAAGTATATGGGCATGCATGTAACAAATAAATGTTAGTTCTAATTTGCTTGGTTATTTTATTTTTCATTTTGAGTAGCTGATGTTACCTGTTCATAGGGTTCAGAGTTTAACTACTTAAAATGTCACCATAGTCCCATAGAGCTAAAGAAAGGTAGAAGAGCCCACATTTTTCATCTGTCTGTATCTACACAGACCCAGAGAGCCACCTAGAGGGAAAAGACCATGTATGTATTTAACATACAATGAATGTTCAAATGCTGCAGTTTACCCCTGTATAAAGGGAAAATTCTTTACTTCAGGGTCTTATGAAAGATGATAGGCTAATCATGAGATCAACATCTCAGAAAGCTTATTTGGCTATCTTTAAGAATAATTCTTAAGGATAATTTGTATTCCTCAGAGAATCAAAGTCAAAGTCTTAACATAATGATTTTAATTTTTTGTTTGTTTGTTTTTGTTTTTTGGTACCAGGGATCGAACTCAGGTCCTTGCGCTTGCAAGGCAAGCGACGGAACCACTGAGCTAAATCCCCGGCCCTGATTTTAATTTTTTAAAAAAATATCTGCTATCGTTAAATACTTGCTATTTGTACTTGGTATCTTTTGTAGTTGTGAGAAAAATGTATTAACTTAAATATTTAGTTCTAGGAATATCACAGAAAGGGCACTTGATTTAGTGTCTATTAATTCAACTGCTTTCTTAGCTGCTTGAACACCACTCAAAATCTCAAGTTTAACTCCCATAAAACAAGAATATTTGTTGTTCCATCTGCTTCAAAGAGAGTCCTAAAGATCAAATCAAGATCCTAAGGACTGATGGGTTAACTAGTATAAATTAAAATTAATTTGGGGGTTTTCTGGTTTGAGACAAGGTTTCATTATGTGATTCAGGCTAGACTTGAACTCACTATGTAGCCCAGAATGGCCTTAAACATGCAGCGACCCTCTTGCCTCAGCCTCCCAAGTGTTGAGATTATAGGCATGTGCCACCACACCTGACTAAAATTAATCTTTTACTATCTGCACAAATGTCACAGCCAAAACGTAGATACACTTTCAGAAGAAAATCCAATTCCTTACTGCATCTTCAGAAGTAATACACTTTGGTGGTATATGACAACCCAAAACTGTACATTATGAAAAGTATATTTAAAATAGAAACGTGTTTCTATTAAAACTTCAAGAAAGTACTTTTATTAATATAAGATCCCTGACATTTCAAAATTATTTTAGCTTTTATAAAAGCTGGGAAAAGAAAAATGAATGTGGTTTTTAAATGTTTTTTCTTTTAGTTTTTAAGAAACATTTGGATCTCTAGGCCAAACTTTTTCAATTTAACATTTTCTAAAAACCCTCTATGAACTCTCCTGCTCAGGGATCTGGCTCAGATACCCTTTTTTGTAAACTCTAAATTACCACTGAGTCCCACCCTGCAGAAACCCATTACCCTGGAGGTCTCCTTAAGGCTAAACTGCTCTGTCCTCTAGAGTGACTGCTGGCTGTGGCGCTGCCTTTGTGAGCGCCCCAGGACTGCGAGCCCCTTGATGTCTGCTCCCACCCATGTGTGATCCATCACCTGAGGTCAAGAGCTGCTTTTCACTCACTGTTTCACCCCCTAAAAGACACAGTAGAGTAACTGACAGTAGAAGCCACTGAATTATTATTTGTCTGTCTGCTAGGGCTAAATGGTAAAAAATTCTCCTGTTCTTCAAAACAAAGTTACCACCAGCACTCGGGAAGCTGAGGCAGGAGGATCACCATGAGTTCCAGGGCAGCCTGAGCTACATAGTGAGACCCTGTCTCAAAAAATAAATAAAATAAATTAAAAAGTTACCATACAAGAGCAATCCAAGTCTAGCACATTGTGCCTGTATTATAATTAAAATGCTTCCTTTGCTGTTACCTCTGAGATTAAGTGTTCTAAAAGTGAACAAACTACTTCATACCTACTAGGATGGCACTACTGAGAAAAATGAAAACAACAAGTGTTGGTAAGGATGCAGGAAAACTGCTGATAGGAAAGTAACAAGGCACACCCCCTGCAGGAAAGTTTGCCAGTTTCTCAAAACCCTAAGGAAAGAATAACCGCGTGACCATGTGGCAATTCCACTTCCAGGTATACTTAAAAGAAGCAAAAGCAAGGACTACACTAGTGTTCCTAGCAGCACTGATCACTATAGCTAAAAGGTGGGAAAACCAAGTGTCCTGTCTGGGCATGTGGCTTGGTGGCAGATTGAGCACTTGGTTCAACACCCTGGGTCAAGGCCCTGGGCTCAACCCCCAGAATCACAGAATCAACAAAGACGAGTGCCCATCAACCCATGAATAAACACACTGTAGTCTATACATAATACACAGAGTGAATGCTGTTCAGTCTGAAGAAGGAATGACATTCTGATGCATGCTACAATGGGGATGAACCTTAAAGATAGCATGCTAAGTGACATAAGCCAAGTATGAAAGGAGCACAGTGTATGATTCCTCTTAAACGAAATATCTAATAGGCAATTCAGAGAGCCAGCAAGTACTTTAAAGGTTTCAGGGGCTGGGAGTAGGGAAGAATAGAGGGACTGCTTAACAATTACAGAGTTTGTTGTGATGGAAAAGTTTCTGAAATGGATAGTGGTGGTGGTTGCACAATTAATGCCACTGAATTATATTCTTAAAATTATTAAAATGGAAAATTTTACATTATATATCTTTTGCCTTATTTATTTATTTAAGTTTTTTGAGTCAGGGTCTCACTTTGTGGTACAGCCTAGCCTTGAACTCACTGTGTAGCTCAGGTTGGCTTTGAACTCAAAGCAGTCCTCCTGCCTCAGCCTCCCAAGTGCTGGGATTACAACCATGC